TTTTATTTGTTAATATATTTAAATGAAATTTTGTATGCAGGCACCTCAAATAAAAGTAAAACTAATGCCATTTCAAAAAATTTGTGTTACAAGCTATGCTGATCAGGTGGGACAGAATCAACCCCTTTTAGGGTGTATTGTAAAAATGATGTATGTGTGAAGAATAAGAATAAGGATGCCGCCTGAAAATTTGTTCAAGTGTCCAAAAAGGGCCTATTATTATTGCTATGCGGCTAACGGATGTTAGGTCTAGGTGCTCGTCGAAACTCGGAGGTGCAATGTTTTTGATGCGCGATCGAGAACGAGTGACTCTTGCTGTGTGCACTATTTATTCGTTTCGCCTGGTTCTCCCGTCGAGACGAAAGAGAGCTAAAATCGCTCTACGTCGAGGCAGTGCAGCCGTCGCCACAGTCTTGAAAACGGCATATTTTCAAATTTTGATTTTATTGTATGAAGGTGCTACTGTAACATTTTCACAGTGGTTTAATCCACTGAAACTGACCGAGTAACGTTGTAGAGAGGCGTCCACTTGTACACTTACGGCCATGAAAACTCATCCAGGCTGTGGTTTCCTTGTGTCGACAGTTACGCCGAGCCCTGCACTTGGAAACTGGAGTTTACAGTCGACGAAGGAATGACGGCAGTGTCCAATGGGGATCTTATTGAGGTGGTATTTACCCCGGATATGCGACGGCGAACCTTCCACTACGTGCTGGGCATTCCAACTTGCGCCCCTAACATATCTCTAGCCGTCGGCCCCTTCGAAATCTACGTGGACCCCTTCATGCACGAAGTGACCCACTTCTGCCTCCCCCAGCTGCTACCCCTGCTGAAGGTGACGACACGCTACATGCACGAGGCGTTCGAATTTTACGAGGAAACGCTATCAAATCGCTACCCGTACTCGTGCTACAAGCAGGTGTTTGTCGACGAGGTCGCGTACGATTACAGATCGTACGCGACGATGAGCATTTTAAACACGAACCTGTTGCACTCGGCCGTAATCATCGATCAGTGCTACATCACGAGACGTGCGATGGCGCAAGCAATCGCCGAGCAGTTTTTCGGATGCTTCATCTCCATGCAGAACTGGTCCGATATGTGGCTGCCCAAATCGATCAGCCAGTATTTGTGCGGATTGTATTGCAAGAAGTGTTTCGGGAATAACGAGTACAGAGAGTACGTCCAAAGCACGCTGAGGGACGTCGTGAAGTACGAGGAGCAATACGGCGGAATAATCTTAGGTAGAAAATGCTCAAAAACTTTTAACTACCCCACCTCTTGCAGATCCCAGTCAGCCTCCTTCGCCTCTGCCGACATCGTCCAGCACCCCCTCAAGCCACACGAAGCACCACGAGGCGCAATTCTACTTCTCAATTCGTAATTTGCACACATTATCTCCACTGTACATCGAGGCCATGTATAAGAAAGGTCTGCTAGTTATGCGAATGCTGGAGAACAGAATAGGGTTGGAGTTGCTGTTGCAGGTGTTCAATAAGCAATTGTCGTTGGCGATGAACGCGGCGGGACAAAAAATTGGGAGCGGATTGTGGAGTCACATGCTTATTAGTACGATCACGTTTACTAAAGCGATTTTTACCGTGACCGGGAAGGATATGATCGTTTTTATTGATCAGTGGGTTCGAACTGGCGGCCATGCCAAATTTCACTTAAGTTCGGTGTTTAATCGAAAAAGGTAAGAACTTTCTCCAAGATTCAGTTAGAATCATTACCCACTCTTTAGCGCATTTTTTCTGTCCGTCCTTCCGAGCCCTTAACTACAACAGTTTTCAATGTATTTAATTCGTTCTTTTTTAATTCAGTAGCTCCGAAACCACAACCAAGAAAAATCTTACCGATTAAATGTGCGCATGCGCAGACTGCGCAAATATCAACTTCCTTTGTTATTGAGATATTTTTTTTGAATTTTTAACCCATAACGCATACAGGGTGGCCATTTGAAAACGAAACAGAGCCTATTTTGGGGACCTCAAAACATTTACGAAAAAATCCTCGGACCCGTCAATTTTTGATCCAAGGGGGAACCATTTTTTTGCTAGTTTCGCCCCCCTGGGGGCATAGCCATAGCGGGGGTGACAAGTGCCCCCAAAATTTTAAATCGAAGGGGGGGGTCGAGTGATACCTTATTTTGAAGGTATTTCTATGTAGATTATAACTCTTAAGATTTAAATCAGTTTTATTTTAAGTGTTTAAAGCTAAAATCAATCAAGTAAATGTTGGAAATGTTGGCCTTCGACTTCCATACAATAATACAGGTTTTGTTCAAACCTTTCCCGTACATTTTGCAAAACTTCTGGGGTGATTTGACGACATTCATCAATTATTCTTTGTCGCAAGTTCTCTAGCGACGTTGGCTGACTAGCATAAATTTTAGTTTTTAAATGTCCTCATAAAAAAAATCTAACAGATTTAAGTCCGGGGAACGAGGAGGTCATTCAATAGCTCCTCTTCTTCCAATCCATTGTCCTGGAAACGTTTGGTCCAAATATTGACGAAACCCTTGCAGCATAGTGGGGTGGCGCACCATCTTGTTGAAATACTATACGATTTTCCAAGTACTCGTTGTTATTTTCTAGTATCTCCACTAATGCTGGATGAATCGTATTTTCTAATAACTTCAAGTACTTCTCTCCTGTTAGATTGCCAGGTAAAAAGAAGGGGCCTACGATATGGTTACCAAAAATGCCAGCCCAAACATTCAATTTTTCGGGACGTTGTGTATATGCCCCTCCCGAAATATTCTGGGATTTGAATCAGCCCAATAGCGACAGGTGTGTATTTGTCACTACTATTATTTGACAACAACAATTGACAAGCACTATTAAACTTTAAAATGTTGCTATAGTAACGCTCTCAACAATAACCAAGATTTCCGTTGCAGAATTGGCATAGCCACCTACCAACAGGTATTAAAAAGAAAAAAACAACAACAAAAAGTACGGTTCAGAATGTAGGAGAACAACATTTTTTGTATTTACTGTTGTATTAATTTTTGTTATTTAACTAATTCATTTACAAGCATTTTTTTCATAAGAAAATGTTGACACGTTTTTAACATTTATTAGCCCATGTATCGGCTAGGCAAATTAGTAGCGATTTAAAACTTAAGGGTTATAATCCACATAAAAATACCTTCAAAATAAGTTATCACTCGACCCCCCCATTCGATTTAAAATTTTGGGAGCACTTGTCACCCCCGCTAGGGCCTTGCCCTTAGGGGGGCGAAACTAGCAAAAAAATGGTTCCCCCTTGAATCAAAAATTGACAGGTCCGAGGATTTTTTCATAAATGTTTTGAGGTTCCCAAAATAGGCTCTGTTTCGTTTTCAAATGGCCACTCTGTATAGTAAAAATCAGATGTGGTCCGTGTGATACAGTGCCGGCTCCTGTGGCGAACTGGAGTTGAAGAACTGCGGTAGCAGGAGTTCTCGATTCGACTCCGGGTTCGGGCATGGATATTTGTAAAGGTATAGCGCGGCTGTCCCAAGCAAAAACTGAGTAAGTCGTTAAAACTTGTTGTTGCTTTTAAATAAATTTATTATAACTTACGATGCCTTATGAAATTTTGCCATTGAATAATTACCAAAGCAAATCGACTAGTGTACAGTACCTTTTATTGAGATTTCATTTATTTTATGAATGTTTTCTTAGGCTAGGCCCGCTAGGCGATCAAAAAACTGTTTTTTCAAAAAAGTATTACTTTTTAAAAATCAGAAAGTATTGTGCAAAAACAAAGTAAGTGCAGTTGCACATGACAAAATGTTAAAAAGGCCTAAATTAAACCAACTAGCTAACAAAAATAATTTTTCTATGAGCATACTTTATAAATATAACACACAAAAAAACTTAAATTCTAAATAGATCAACATGAACAAAATATGGTACCTAGAAACTATTTGTCGTCATCGTTTACTTCATTGGCATCCTTTTTTGAAAGTAAATCTTGAGATGAGTTTAAGGCCGGCATGGTTTGCCAAAATGTAGGCATAAAAGTCCACTTAATATTTTCTCGTTTTTCTCGGTATTAATTCCATATGTATTAGTAAAACGTCAGGAACGTTATCTACATGTTTTTTTTTAAGGAAATCAAGCTCTTTATAGTCCTCTTGAAGTTTGTTTTGTATTGAAGGCTTTTTTTGCCTTTTATAAAGCATACTTGATACTTCTACTGCATTGGACAGTAGGGGGGATCACTTACTTTTCTGACCATGCGTCTTTAATTTTTCCACCTTCGAAATTCTGTTAACTGCAAAACTTCTAATTGTTTTCTGGAGTTAGAAATTAACTCACGCAGCTCTTGAAAATTATACGCAGTGCATTTTCTACTAATTTTTTGTTTAATATTGCCATGTATCCCGTCAGCACTCATGTGACCTTTGGTCAAGTAACGGATCGTTACCTTACTTGGGCCGAACGATTGGTTTACTTTAGTTATAAGGGCCGTAAATAACATGTTTAGTTAAAAACTACTAGCCTGCTTGTAAATAAATAAGATATACTTTGCGGCATAATTGGAAGCAATATCACTTTTTAAAGATCCACGGAAAAAATACGCTTAGAACTAATTTCTAAAACTCGGGCAGCTTCTTTCGAGTCCTCTTTGTACTTTTCGTTTGCCGGAGAGGCTTTTAAATTGTGTGCAGTCATTTTTTCTTGGTTGTTTTTAGCACCACTGTTGGTATTGACAGCATTTTTCATAGAAGTGCATTCATTACAAAGGTCAGATTTAGGCTGAAAGGCTGGCGTGCATTTTTTAAATAGTTTCGCATTGGAAAAGCTCCCTAAACTTAAACTTTAAGAAATGTTACTTAATTACAACTTTGATTACCTTCTTGTTTTTTTGGTTCAAGTGCGTAATAAATAATTAACGCCAACTAAATACGAAAAACAAATAATACGGCTATAATTACCGGATTCTGGATATTTTCCAAACATTTTTCGCTACTGGTATTATCCGGCGGGAAGGTATTTTTGCTACAGTGAGCCTAAAACAAAATTAGTTCAAGAAGATACCTACCTGGTTTCTTCTTTTTAGCCCCCATTTCTATGTTAAATTTGCTTTCAACATTGGCCAAAGGTAACATAAATAATAATTACAAACAACTTTACATTAAATGTGCTTTCTACATCGTTTACATCCTGCTTTTTATTGATAACATAATTTAAACTAAGTAGCAACAGAGTTCGTTTTTGTTACCGATAAGTTTTCCGTTTCATTTCCACTACACCAGAGCTGGGCAGTATTCGATTTTGTAAATACTTTTTAGTATTCAAATACTTTGTAATTAAATAGTTTTATGGAAGCAGTATTTGTTTTTGTAACTCAAATACTTTCACAAATATTTAGTATTCGAATACTTCGCATAGTATTTGAATACTTAACCTTCCTTTTTTACCAAAAATCGACTACATCAAAATTTCTCGGGAAAACGCTTTTTCTTATTAATTTTGGTGCGTAGAATCCAAAACAATTCGTACTTTTTCGATCAGACTTCTCAATCAAAAGTTATAGACTAGAAACCAATTTCGAAAGAAAAATTCAAAGGGCTGTAACTTTTGAAATAGTAGCCCAATCTTGGAACTGTTTGATTATGGATTCTACAGGTTCACATTCTATAAGAAAATTTTTTTTCCGGGTCGATCTGAGACAATTTTTTTTCGGGCCTCAAAAAAAGGCAGTGTATAACCTTCCTTTTTTACCAAAAATCGACTACACCAAAATTTCTCGGGAAAACACTTTTTCTTATTAATTTGGGTGCGTAGAATCCAAATCAATTCGTACTTTTTCGATCAGACCTCTCAATCAAAAGTTATAGACTAGAAACCAATTTCGAAAAAAAATTCAAAGGGCTGTAACTTTTGAACTAGTAGCCCAATTTTGGAACTGTTTGAAATTATGGATTCTACAGGCCACATTCTATAAGAAAATTTTTTTCCGGGTCGATCTGAGACAATTTTTTTTTGGGCCTCAAAAAAAGGCAGTGTATAATCTTCCTTTTTTACCAAAAATCGACTACACCAAAATTCCTCGGGAAAACACTTTTTCTTATTAATTTTGGTGCGTAGAATCCAAAACAATTCGTACTTTTTCGATCAGACTTCTCAATCAAAAGTTATAGACTAGAAACCAATTTCGAAAGAAAATTCAAAGGGCTGTAACTTTTGAACTAGTAGCCCAATCTTGGAACTGTTTGAAATTATGGATTCTACAGGCCACATTCTATAAGAAAATTTTTTTCCGGGCCGATCTGAGACAATTTTTTTTGGGCCTCAAAAAAAGGCAGTGTATAATCTTCCTTTTTTACCAAAAATCGACTACACCAAAATTTCTCGGGAAAACACTTTTATGTAGACCATTTTTTGTGCCGTGTTTTGTTTTATGGTGTCATTTATTATTTGCTTAGTACGCGATTTTATTCCTGTTGAAGCGGACATGGTTATCCTTTGACTCCTAGAGTTCAACTGATTTAAGTCCTTCCCGATTGTAGTTACCCATCCCACTGCAAGTCACTTACTAGGTCATTCTCAGTGATGGAGCGACTATTTTCGTTGTAATAGAACAAGTTTACCATGGGTAAACAAAGTAACTGAATTTTGTTGACAAAAACCAAATAACTTACTTTGTTTTTGTAAACGATCTTGCAGTTAATTTGTTTTAGTCTGCGAAATTTAGTGCAATTACTTTGTTTGGGTTTGTCAATATCGCTGTTATTTATGAACCGATTATAAATTTTTTAGTACCAAAGTGTGTATCAGAATCCAAGTAGGTAACTCGCATACATTAAAAAATCGATTTAGAAGAAAATGTTCATTTTTGCTTGGGGCAGCCGAGTGGGTTGGGTTGGTAAAACAGCCCTTGACTGAAATCCGGCCCACTTAAAAATAAAGGCGCATGCGCAAACTGCAATGGTAACTTTATATACAGTGATATTCATTTAGAAGTAGACATAGTGATTTGTGTATTGTTTTCTCTATGTCTAGTTTTAAATGACAAAACTCTTTTGAAGGACGCCTAATAGTATGCAACCAACTTCTTAAAACAAATGAAGGTCTGGCTGTCATATTAAATAATTGCAATATGTATCAGTATATGACTGCTTGGGCTTGCGTATTTTTATTTTCGTTAGTGTGCGATGTATTCAACTGAAGAAAAAGTTGATATTGTTTATTGGTATAGTGCCGGTAACAGTATTTTCTATGTTAATTACTTTATAATTAGTGGTTGTTTAAATGCGATCCACACACTGTAAACAACCCTCAAGTTTAACGGAGGATATGAAAGTGAGTGTTTTAAATGTTGTGGAAGAGAATCCCATAAGAAACTTAAGGGAAGTAGCGGCCGAATTTTCATCATAACTTAAAAGCATACTATTTACTGTCGTTTTTATTAACATCTAGAATGACAGTGCAAAATTCATGCGCATGTTATTTTGGTTGCATAAAATTAGGCGCTTTCAGAAGAGTTTTTGTCATTTAAAAGTAGACATAAGGATTTCCTATGTCTACTTTTAAATGACAAAAACTCTTCTGAAAGCGCCTAATTTTATTTCTAAATGAATTACTGTAGATTTTCCAACGTTCTTATTTACGGAGACCTTTTTTTGAGATTTTAACGAAAGAGACTAGACTAGTTCTAATAGGCAAAGTTTCAGCCGAATTTGTGCCGAACTCGCCTTCGGCTCGCTCGGCGATCTGTAAAAAATAGATAAGTTCGTTAATAAACGGGACACTTTATGTTTGTACCATTCTAATTTGACAAAACTTACCACTTTAGGCTGACTTTGGTTAACCAGTATAAGCGAAATGCGCTCCTGTGGTATCGGTGAAATTTTTGACATGATATCTGATACTTGAGACGCCCTCCTGCTGTGATTGTTGATTCCTCAAAATCCGCTTTTAGAAATACAATAGAGGTGGAAATCCGCCAGGACGCGACGACCCAAACTGGCATTCGAAAGTACGTGGGTCCCTTATTGGTTCAGCTTCAGGAATTAGACGGGACCTTCAAGCACACCTTGCAAATCGAAAATACGGTCGTTAAAGCGGACATTACGTGTCATTCGAAAAGTCGTCGAAATAAAAAGAAGAAAATCCCATTATGCACCGGAGAAGAAGTCGATATGGACCTCAGCCCGATGGAGTTAGTTTAAATGTCTTTGGCATAATTCCTTGTAATGTTCTCGTAGTGACTCGCCAGTTTTGTGGATTCGTCTTGATCCCGAAATGACACTGTTGCGTGCGACAATTATCGAACAGCCCGACTTTCAGTGGCAATTCCAGTTGAGGCACGAACGAGACGTTACCGCGCAAATGGAGGCGATCCTGGCCTTGGAACGCTACCCCACCCCTCCGACGCGCCTTGCACTGACCGATACCATCGAAAACGAGCAGTGCTTCCACAAAGTGCGATGCAGAGCGGCCCACTGCCTAACCAAGGTCTATTACTCTCACGCCCTCACTGTTTCACAGGAATATTTCAGGTCGCAAACGCCATGGTGTCGAACTGGGCGGGCCCTCCCGCAATGTTGGCGATCTTCCGTAAATTCTACGGCTCGTTCGCCGCCCCTCACATAATCAAACAGAACACGTTCACCAACTTCCAGCACTACTTCCTGCAAAAAACTATCCCGCTCGCCATGGCCGGCCTACGAAACGCGCACGGCATCTGCCCGCCCGAAGTAATCCGCTTCCTCCTCGACCTTTTTAAGTACAACGACAATTCTAAAAACCGATATTCGGACAACTACTACAAGGCCGTCCTCGTGGAGGCACTCGGCTGTACGATCACGCCTGTCGTCTCGGTCGTACAGCAGGGCACCTCGATTACCTTCGAAAGTCTGAGCGCCGATACAAAATTGGTGCTGGAGGAGGTCACGAGAATGCTCAATCTGGAGAAATCGCTGCCTTGTTATAAGTACACGGTGACGGTTGCGTGCCTGAAGGCGATTAGAAAGTTGCAAAAGTTTGGTCATTTGCCCAGCAGTCCGAATCTATTCAAGAGCTACGCGGTTTATGGTCAATTTATTGGTAAGCCGGGAATAGAATCGTTGAATATTTGCGAGCGTCTGTTTCAGATGTGAGAATAGCCGCCTTGGAGTGTCTCGTGGATTTCGTCCGTGCCGACGGACGATGGTCGGACCTGCAGCACTTGCTGGACATTGTGGAAAACGATCCCGATCCAGGCGTACGTCACAAACTCGTCGGTTTACTCATTCAACATCCCCCCTTTGAACGCGCGCATCGACAACGGCTCGACATTCCGGAACTGGTGGAACGAATTTGGGGCACCATTAAGTATGCCCCCCCCCCTTCTTGAACACCACTAATTTCCTTGCACTTGCAGTGGAATGCTTTCTCACGATACTCGGCTTCGCTGCGATTTAGTGGATTTATACTTCGTACTCTACGGGACTCGCCGACCGACCTGTTTGCCCAACCCGGAAACTGAGGCTTTATACAAACCTCAGAAGCAGTCTTCTTATGGGGAACCTAAGAGGACCAAGACGTTCTCCTCGCCCACTCCGCTTCCTGCACCTGTTGTTGACACGAAGCCGAATCCAAATCCTGTAGTGTCAAAGGATGGACCGTCGGACATAATTATCGATGACACCTTAGAATGTGTTAACGTGGAAATAATCGCGCGAGAGGAAAAGATCAAGGTACCCCAGCGTTAATGTTTTCAGTTTCATAGTCCCCACTTCTAGGAGGAAAATATGCCGCTTGACTTGAAGGTTGAACCGGCCGTTAAGCCGGTCGTGCAAAAGCAGGAGTACTTTTCGGACAACTCGGTTTCCTTGCCGGGTATGGGGCAACCCGGGCCTGTCGGTTTTGAGCCGGGGATGTTTAAGAAAGATTCGGATTCCAAATATAAGCTCGATCCCGCCGCCAAAGTATATCGCCCGCGTGATTTGTATAAGTACTATATTATTGTTTTCAGTTGAAGAAAAAGAAGAAAGATAAAAAGAAACACAAACACAAGCACAAACATAAGCATGATCATAAACATAGTAAAGACAAAGATAAGAAAGAAAAGGATCCGAATAAATTAAAAATTAAAGAGGAAACTTTGAGCTCTGTGAGCTCGACGCCGAGCCCTAGTTCACAATCGTTTGGTGCAGAAGTGATGTAATTCACATAGTTTAAGCAATAAAAGCAATTTGAATTTATTTTCCTTTTTTCCCTTGCAGATCATAAATGAAAATATTTCCATTAAAAATGGCGTAAGAGAGTCCTAGTTACTCTCCCTCGTTCCGCTTTGAAATTACGCAATTTCTAATGGAAATAATTTCATTGTTACCACTTACACTCTGCAAAGTTTGACACGTTCACGGAGTTCACATATTTTTATTTTAGATTGATTTTGCTTCAAGGGGATCCCCTGCAGAGCTGGGCAGTATTCGATTTTGTAAATACTTTTTAGTATTCAAATCCTTCAAAGTATCCAAATACTTTGTAATTAAATACTTTTATGGAAGCAGTATTTGTATTTCTAACTCAAATACTTTCACAAATATTTAGTATTCGAATACTTCGCAAGGTATTTGAATACTTAAGGCTGGACAGTACATACAGAACGGAGTATGAAAAGTTGCCTATTGTCAATCCCCAAATTTGGTTATTTATAATATTAATTTGTGTTCGATGGTAAAAACATAAACTTAGTCCAATTATAATGCACATTTTCTATCTGTATAAAACCAGCCACCCGGCGGAAGCTATCTTTTAGCGCTTTTTAGAAAAACTTTTAAGTTGTTTTTCCAAGATAACTTATCTATAAATGAAGTTGGAACAATTTCCAAAATTAAGATACGTTCGTAAACTTAATATCTAGGCAATAACGCCAGGAAAATTTATTTCCTTTTTTCTTTTCCAAAATATGACACCCTAACAGCCCTCGACGTTGCCCTTAAAAAAAAGATTATTTTAAAACATTTTAGTAAACCCCGGCGTTATTGTCTAGCTAAAGCATTCACCTTTCACAGGAATATTCGACCCCTTCTTCAACTTCACTCAGAATTAAGATATCGTGGAACGAAATCACGCGTTTTCGGGCAACGGAACGGGTGTACTGTCCAGCCTTAAGTGTGTACGGAGAAGTTGGANTAACCTTCCTTTTTTACCAAAAATCGACTACACCAAAATTCCTCGGGAAAACACTTTTTCTTATTAATTTGGGTGCGTAGAATCCAAATCAATTCGTACTTTTTCGATCAGACTTCTCAATCAAAAGTTATAGACTAAAAACCAATTTCGAAAAAAAATTCAAAGGGCTGTAACTTTTGAACTAGTAGCGCAATCTTGGAACTGTTTGAAATTATGGATTCTACAGGCCACATTCTATAAGAAAATTTTTTTCCGGGTCGATCTGAGACAATTTTTTCTTCGGGGCTCAAAAAAAGGCAGTGTTAACCTTCCTTTTTTACCAAAAATCGACTGCACCAAAATTTCTCGGGAAAACACTTTTTCTTATTAATTTTGGTGCGTAGAATCCAAAACAATTCGTACTTTTTCGATCAGACTTCTCAATCAAAAGTTATAGACTAGAAACCAATTTCGAAAGAAAATTCAAAGGGCTGTAACTTTTGAACTAGTAGCCCAATCTTGGAACTGTTTGAAATTATGGATTCTACAGGCCACATTCTATAAGAAAATTTTTTTTCCGGGTCGATCCGAGACAATTTTTTTTTCGGGGCTCAAAAAAAGGCAGTGTATAACCTTCCTTTTTTACCAAAAATCGACTACACCAAAATTCTCGGGAAAACACTTTTTCTTATTAATTTGGGTGCGTAGAATCCAAATCAATTCGTACTTTTTCGATCAGACTTCTCAATCAAAAGTTATAGACTAGAAACCAATTTCGAATGAAAATTCAAAGGGCTGTAACTTTTGAACTAGTAGCCCAATCTTGGAACTGTTTGAAATTATGGATTCTACAGGCCACATTCTATAAGAAAATTTTTTTCCGGGTCGATCTGAGACAATTTTTTTTCGGGGCCTCAAAAAAAGGCAGTGTATAACCTTCCTTTTTTACCAAAAATCGACTGCACCAAAATTTCTCGGGAAAACACTTTTTCTTATTAATTTTGGTGCGTAGAATCCAAAACAATTCGTACTTTTTCGATCAGACTTCTCAATCAAAAGTTATAGACTAGAAACCAATTTCGAAAGATAATTCAAAGGGCTGTAACTTTTGAACTAGTAGCCCAATCTTGGAACTGTTTGAAATTATGGATTCTACAGGCCATATTCTATAAGAAAATCTTGTGCTGGACGTAAAAGTATTTAGTATTCAAATACTTTAAGTATTCTGCCCAGCTCTGATCACCTGCAGGCAACCCTTAATACACGAGCAAAAAAATTCACAAAAAATGCGCACGTCTAAGGCGACTTAATGCAACGGTGTGGCGCCTGGTGCTCCTAAATAGCTCATAAATTGGATACCATTCTTAAATTGATTCACAATGGTGAGAGGGCTAGGTCCAGCGGGCTGTTTCGAATACCTCTATGTAACAAGTTTGTACTTGGGGTTTCTGGTAGGAGTATATTTCAAAATTTTCCTGTTTATATTTAATTGTAAGAGATTCCAGAAAATAAAACACAAAGAATATATTTCACAGTATAATAAATACTGGTATACTTCAGAATTACATTATAAATATACAATGTGTATTATAATTCTTATTTTTGTGGTTTTTAAAATATTTTCTGAAAATAACAATTTCCCACAAAGCAATGCTCAAACATCTATCTTGAATAAGAAGTGTTTATTCACACAGATACAAACATGCCATGGTGTATTTCAAGAAAAAATGCTAGTAAAAGTGAAAAAATCATTTTTCAAAAAATGTTTAATTTTTCGTTACATTTTAAATAGGCAAAATCGAACTCCAAAAGTCACACACGACACACGCAATTTTTTATTTTATTTTTTTCGCTTAACGCGTCTACACACTTTTACCAGCCTTATTCCTTCACATATCAAAATACAACCGATGATATATTTTAAATGCTAAAAGGCAATTGTAGTCACATTTCATATTAACACGTGATAAATTTCGCACGTTAACCGTTTGTCGACGGTTCACGTGTCACAAACAAGTTAACTCTAACATATTGTCAAAAATGGAACAATTCGAAAAAGAAAAATTTACAACCGCTTTCAGCGGTTGGTACGATACAACGAAAACGAAAAATGTGATATCGGGTTTTTTGATACTTTGTCGGATATGAATTTATTTGGTCCCAGTAAATTTAACAAAGTGGCTGTTGAAATAGGTTATAGCGGCATATTTTGAAATTTTTAAAAAAGATTTAAATCCAAGTCTTTTGATTTTTCAGTCTATTCACTTTTTATAATTTTCCAATCACATGTAAAAACAAGAAGACACTTTTTTGGTGTGTAGAGCTAATTTTTACTCGTCTAAATTAGGAAATTTTTTTTCTTCTTAATTTGGCGCTTTTCTTTATACAAACAGCTACGATTTCATCCCGAGATTGTGGCAAATCCCCGCGTAAGCAAAGCGGCGGGTTGTTTACGTGGGGGCGAATGTAATTTGTAAAAATAAACTTTAAAAATTGATAACAGTTTCACTTAGGCACTATAACTAAAACTATCGGTTTTTTAAAGCAAATAGAAGTGCAATGAAAACGCTTCGAGGTACCTATTTTGAAATATGCCATTGATAACCCATGTTTGAACCTGTCTGCTACCTCATTTGTGAAGAGCTTTGAACCTTACGTTTGCTACGTACTGTTACGTCCTATTCCTTACACTAAGTTAGTAAGTGCCGTCACCTGTTAGTGTGCAACTTTACAAAAAAAAACCTATAAATAGTGGATATACCCCAGTTGTACTGTAAGTGTCGTATGGATTATTATTTATAAATACCTTTCTACATACGTTACGCTTAATGTAAATGGAAAAGTGTACAAGTGAACCGTGAATTAAAAAAAAAATGAAGGCGATAACTACTTTAATATAACACGCGGTGGGTGTACTTTCTCTGCGAGTAATAACTAACTACGTATAAAAACACCTAGTACTTACAAATATAGTAAAAACAGAACACCCACTTACAAAATGCCTATAAATCACCTCTATGTAACGAACAAAAAAAAAACATGAAACCAGCTCTTCACAAATGCGTTTAATGTGGGTAATTGTCGATTATTTTAACTATTGTTCGATATTGTAGCTCGTAACACAAAAAAAGTCATTATAAAACAACTAATAAAACAAGTGTGGCTTGGAGGTTCAATGTTTCTTTCAGCAGGCACACGACAAGGTGCGCTAAAATAGAGGAGGGGACGAACTATGTACAAGGGGGAGGTTTTTGTAACTAAAGCAACTTAAGTAAAATCTGCTCTATAAATTAAAAACTAAAATTAATTAACAAATACGTATGATTAAACAATATATAAAAACCAGTAAAATTATGTGTGTAAAAAAATATTTAGGAATAATAGCAACTAGAAGTCTTGTAAAAGTCTCGTAAAATGTGGAATGATAAACTTAATATATTAAAAAAAAAACAAAGATTTTAAGACCCTGGTCCGTTGTGGTTTCGTGTTAATGGAAATACTGTCTCGAAAAGGAATGGTTCGAATTTGTGTACAGAAAGGGTCGAATAATTTACTTGTTGCCAGATACAAATTTTCGCAACAAACTGAAAGTATACAAGCATATTTTTGCGTCACTAGTGCAAGGAAAATAAAAATTGGAAGTTTAGTGGCGCGGCGCGTATCAACCGATAAATGCAATCAATGTTTTTGTACATTTTTTACGAGTTTCGACAAAAAGTGCAAATTACATCAACGCAACTAATTAAATGGTCCTCATTAAAGATATGAAGCAATCATTTGTAGAGAGATAATTACGTACATTGCAAGTAATAAAAATAACACGTATACTTTGAAGGTTTTGGACCACGTCTCAAAAAAAAAACTTAAAAATTGGAGAACGATGTCTTTACAACAGAGTATCACATTTAGAAAAATAATAATGACTTCGCTAATAGAACCACTAATTAATAATTGCACGATCGTGGTACACTCGCATTGTTGCAAGTTTGGATCAATTTTGATTCGTCGAGTAAATAATTTAGGCTTCACGCACTACATCTTATAGTTAAGCCAAAACGTCAATTTTATATGTATAAGTTATATAAATTCGTCAAAATTGTAGACGTTGCAAACTGGCAAGCGCAAAAGTGTTACACACAAACATTTAAAAATACAGTGTTAAAAATCTTAAAGCTACTTAAAATTTAGGAAGCTCAGAGCTTCGCTACTGTATATATTACAGTAAGTTTAAAGCAATCCAATGATCCAAGCTTGGGCCCGAGATCACGACTCTGTATTTTTTTTTTTTCTATAATTCAGTTTCCTAATTGTTGCGAATGCGAATAAAAAATCTGGCACATACTTGGTTGGAATGTTTAGTTTTAAGCATGCGCTACTTTCAACCGCCACCGTTTCTCTAGTAATTCGACTAACTTCGCAACGATCCGAAAGCTAGCACATGCTTAAACGAGATATGTTTCAAACATACATTATTTACAATATACTGTTATATTTTGGTCCAACTGAAATATGCGTTACTGTTTAAATCTGGTTGGGTTTGATAAGAATCGGCTTTACGGCGCAATTTTTAATTTTTACGAGAAAAACTAAAAGTTGGCACCTCGCCGAGAAAACTGTCGGTATCGGTTTGGTTGTGGTTTGAGTTGCGTTCTGACGGTTGTTGAAGGGATGAAGCGCTTAACTATACCTGATCAATCTTTTCTCTCTCGAACAAAATAACTTCCTTTTCAAATATATAATAATATATTTATCTTATATGTACTACTTAAAGTTGATGTAAATATATATGTATGTATATACCATCTAATTGCACTTCATTGTCATATGAAAACAAAAACTAAGGTGGTAGTTCAACATGTCGATAAACGAATTGAGCTTCGGACATGATAAATTCCCACCGAACCTATTTTAATATTTAGTTACCTACCTCTAATTGTTTAAAATTTATATTATAATATTTTAAGATATTTTTAGAGAAAATATACATCAAAAATTTTGAATAAATCACAGATAGATAATTTTTCAATTCTGGGACAATCCCGAGGGTTTTCGATATATCCACATCAAAGCAGTCTGTATGAAGTACGAGTGAATATTATTATTATTATACAGATTTTATACAGATTTTGAGGTATACGCAACGTTGAAGACACATACAAAATACAACACTGACTACTACAGTTTGGTATATGCCAAAACACTGAACAGCAAACATAGAATTATGACAAATTTTTTTTTAACACCTTTTAGAGTCCGAAACACTCATTGCTCATCGGTTTAGGTGAGGATCTGCTTTGATGCTACCGAAACACTTAGTTAAAGTCGCGCGCTACGCTAACCAGAGTTGAACTGGGTTAGGTACTCGCTCTGCGACTCGCAAGGCTTGACCCAGTCGAACTCTGACGCTAACCAACAAAAAACAATTGAGAAACAACGACTAAATCAACAAATACCGTCATCGACCTCGTTTTTCTTACAACAACCAAATGCTTCCAAACACTATGGAAACGCTTCAACAACAATTACAATCGAGTACTCACTTTTCAGTACAAATATCTCGCACTTACATTAGGTAGATGTCAGTCTTGAGCCACGTCCGATTCTGAGGCACTTCCTATCGTCGAATCCCCGTTCCGTTCAACGTCTAAAACGTCTCGAAAACGCACTAGCATCTCCGGCTTCAAATTGTCGGGGTTAACTAAATCTTGCTTTAAGTATATTCTAGCGGGAGGAATCGAGTCCTCTTCGTTACAGTTTCGCTCGACCGAGTCCATAGAGTCGTTCGAGAGCTCTATCGTGTGAAGGTCGGCGTCGTATCGTTTCGGAGAACTCTCGCCGGTCTCCTCCTTTACGCTGAAATTCGCGGGGCTGATCGTTCTGCGGTAGTTTTCGTCGCCCGAACTGTTCGATTCGGACACGTTCGGTTTCGGGAGGGGCGTAAGGCGACTGTTGCGGCAAAGTTGATCCAAAAGCGCTTTGTTCGACATGTTCTCCGGCGTTAGGCTCTTGTCGTCTTTGATCGCCTTGTCGTCACTACCGGGAACGCCCGACTCCAGACTCGATCGGATGATGCCGTCCAGAAATGAGCCGTTCGATCCCGTGCCGTCGAGAAGCGATTCCGCAATGTGACGGGCATTTTTCGGCAGGGGTGGGGGGCAGCCTGCCGGCGAGGGAGGTACGTTCGGGTGCGTTCTCACGTCGTCTTGGATCTTTTGTATCATTTGCGTTGTGAAAAATTCGGGGTTCGGCGGAAATGACGACGTCGACGGACTTCTGCCGTACTCCAAGGGAATGTGAGAAAAGCCTGGGTGCGGCCAGAAGGGAAACGGTGGCGGGTTGTAGCCTAATGGAGCCATGCTCGGATCGAACATGGGCAATTTCATTCCGTTTGGGGAGGTTGGTGGGAATTTAGGTTGGGGAGGCTTCATTACGGGTTTCATTTTATCTACACCACCGGCGGCGGCGGCCATTCGCAAATCGTTTTGTTTTAGCGACGCCAATTTTTCGTCTACTGGATTTGGTTTCGGGTCTCTTTTTCTGGGACGCATCAAATGCCGTTCTTTCACCTTGTATTCTAAGGTGGAATGAGGTACGCCATAGTAGCTTCCCGCCCTATGCACGGACATTTCCCCTCGTTGCACCGCGCGGACCGCTTCCACCAAGCTATCTCGATCATAATTACGATACTTTCCCCTTTTCGGTCGGGTACCTTTTCCGCCCGTCGTACCGGACGTCGATGGATTTTGGGGAGGTTTCTGGTGAAGATGCGGATAAGGCCTGGGGAGATCGTGTTGATTTTTCATCTGCGGCATGCCGACCATGGGAGGCGTAAAACCTGTTCGCTTGTAATCCATCTCCATTATGGGCGGCATTCGAATTGGTTCGGGAGTTTGTTGGAATTTTTGACTAATACTTTTTGCTATTACGTCCTTAACGTCTTTTAACGTCATTCCTTTACCGGGCAAGATCGGTGGAGATCCCGATTCACTAGTTACAGGCGGCGAAACGATCGGCACAGAGTCAGATCTGTAGAAGTCGTTCCCATTTTTACTGGTAGTCGGTTTGAAGGACGGAATTTTAAGTATCACATTTGAGGGCGATTCGTCCGTTTCCATGTCGGACGATTCCGACCTACACTTCTCCACTTTCGTAACCACCGAGCTTGGACTCGTCCTTGCCTCGCCGTTATTTTTATACCTATCATCGGATGATAATCTCTTGATGCACTCTGATAACAACGCGTCTTTTTCGGTAGGCTTTTGACTTTGAAAGTTAACACCGGAGGTTAATAACAAGTTCTGTATATAAGGTCCCATCGCACTATGATCTAAACCCGTCCAAGAGTCCGAACCCTCTTTACCCCTTTGCAAAAGAGTTTTTAACGCTTCTTGATTATCTAAATTAGAAAACCTCAAAATGTCGGCCATCGATAATAAAGGTGCTTGTAAGGCTTTTTCCACCTCCTTCTCCTCTTCGGCGCCCGATAACTCCTTTTCCTCGTCTATCACCTCTTCTTCCTCCAGTTTTAAGGGCACCGTCGTGTTTATGTGCAATTCCCTCTCTCTTTCCATCGCGAGTTTATAAACCTTATTTCGCAAGGTCGATCGGGGAATACCATAAATGACGGCAGCTCGTCTCGTGCCCAATTTTCCCGACTGGATATCTCTTAAGGCCGCTTGTAGTTCGTCTTCGGTATACGTTCGCCTTCCTGCAATCGTCGACACTCGAGGCTTCGCTCTAAAATCAGAACTAAAATTATAATTACACATCTTGCAGCACTTTTTCCTTATTCACTAGTGCTTATTAGCAGTTTGTGCTATTCTGATTTCGAAAAGTAATGACTATAGGGAGTAATTGCGATGCCCATAAGGCGAATTACCCAACATAAAACGGTATAGGAACGAAAGCACAGATAATAAAAGAAGGAACACAAAAAAACGCTTTTTTCCCTCGTCTGAGGACGTACCCACTAGAGTCAAACAGAGCTGGGCAGAATACTTTCAAAAAGTATTTGAATACTAAATAGTAAATACTTTAGACAAATCAAAGGTATTTGAATACTAAATACTTTTACGTCCAGCACAAGCGAATACTAGATACAGATACATTGAAAAGTATTCAAATACTTAAAAAAATAAGTATTCAAATACTTAGAATGTATTCGAATACTTTCAAAGGTATTCGTATACTATAAAAAGTATTCGAATACTTTGAAAAGTATTCGAATACTTGTCACTCAAATACATTAAAAATTTAAAATAGTATACTAGATAAAAGGCTTTCAAAAGTATTCTAATACTATCAAAGGTATACGAATTGTTTTGGATTCTGGATTTTGGATTCCAAAATTAATAAGAAAAAGTGTTTCCCCGAGAAATTTTGGTGCAGTCGATTTTTGGTAAAAAAAGGAAGGTTACACACTGCCTTTTTTTGAGGTACGAAGAAAAAATTGTCTTAGATCGACCCGGAAAAAATTTTTTCTTATAGAATGTGGCCTGTAGAATCCATAATTTCAAACAGTTCCAAGATTGGGCTACTAGTTCAAAAGTTACAGCCTTTTGAATTTTCTTTCGAAATTGGTTTCTAGTCTATAACTTTTGATTGAGAAGTCTGATCGAAAAAGTACGAATTGTTTATTTAATTACAAAGTATTTGAATACTTTAAAGGATTTGAATACTAAAAAGTATTTACAAAATCGAATACTGCCCAGCTCTGGAGTCAAAGATATATGAGCATATTATGTAGCAACATTCTAGGAACCCAAGAGGGAGTCGGCGACGCGAGTCGGTCATGACACGGGTGACGAAAAATGTCAGGATAATGCATAATAATCCCTAAAAAATCGATTTATCTGTGAATGGAATTTTTGACATCGCCACTACATCAAAAAATTAAAGAAACGGTTTAAAAAAAATTCAAAAAAAGACTTGGCTTTGTAATCAAGGATTGGCCTGTAGTATTAACAAATGTTGATAATTCCCTCTTCCGAAAAAACGTCAAAATGTTTAATTTACTTTTTTGCTCGCCTTCCCTTGTAGAATTTTCCGGCATTATTGGGGGGAGAGGTCTTGGGAGCCGGGGAAACTTATTGCGCACTCGTTCAAAAGCTCGATAACATTTATGAACAGATTATTTTGCATTGCTTGTTACTTTTAATGTTCTTGGACTTTTTTTGAACAATCCATTACTACGTACCTGTGGGATAATTTCTTAAATAACCTTCTGCAGAATCCCGTAAGAATTAGGTGCAGTACAAATAAAACCTTAGTCATCAGAGGCAACGGGCATTGAATTCGAATAAATTTAATTTCGTTAAATTGCAGCATTTGGCATTGCAGATAAGAAGTTTACGTTACCTCCCAAACTGCATAATTAGGTACACTCAAATTCAGTGTGTAAAGTGGTCGACTTTTACTTGCGTTCCTGTGGGAAATCTTGGTGAGTTTTTAATGAAATTGAAAAATTATTCAATTACACGACTGGGTAACCGCCCAATTTAATTGGGTCTACTTTGGCCCTTTCCGTAATTCTTCTACTCCAATTTGAACGCATTTTTGAATAAAAAAGAGCGACTTTCGCCACGCTTTAAGTAATGCATGATTTATTCAATGGAGATTCTATTTACGTACACGCTATCTCCTCTTACATCTTTAATTATTTTCAATTTGAACTTTCGCTGCATGATAGCGTATAATCGGACAATGAATCATGCAAGAAAGGATGTTAAGGATTCAGATCCTTTAATTCAGTAACAGTTCACTGAATTTGTATTGTAAAATTCAGAAAAAGCTTCCAAATTTATTCGACCCCTAGGGTTTAATCGTGCAATTCCTTCCCCCTTTATCCATTTTCGGAACGTTAGATTAGAAGGACAAGGTCGGTCATTGATAATCCTCCATTCCTTAGGAAAGTACGGACAAAGAAAGTACTTTGAGGAAGTTGGTATTTGCGTTTCTTCTAAATAGATGGAACTAGCGGTTCGGATTACTTTTAAAAATTCGAATCCGCAAGAAGAACATTCGCTTAAATCGAAAATTCTTGACGGTAGTACTTGGTGAGTGATTTTGCGGACTACCCCCTGTAAAAGGTGATCAATGTAAAGAAGAGGGGGAGACTCCAACCGTCTCTCCTCTCCAATTTCGACTCCCACAAATTCCGGTTTTCCACATTTAATAATAATAGTAAACAAGCAGCCCATTTCATAATGACAAGGGTTCTTTGGGCTTAAGTTTCCCCTGCCCCGCTTTTCCAAATTTTACCCACAAAGAGTCTCTATTCATTTTGCCTGGTTCCGTCTTGAATACTCTGATTTAGGGCCAAATACATAAACAATTATTACAGACTATGCTATGTGATAGTTTGTTTAGGCTGTTCACTTAATTGTATACGAATAGCCACCCTACTTTTAAATAAAAATCTTTTGCAAATACAATTTAAAATTTAAATCCAGCCCAGAATCATTTCGCAGGTAAGTGCAGAGTGATATTCATGTAGAACTAGACATAGGGATTTCCTATAGGAATGTCCTGTGTCTACTTTTAAATGATAAAAAGTCTTCTGAAGGACTATGTAACCAAATTAACTACCTACAACAAATAAAGATCTGCCTGCTTAAAAGATTCACTTTCTGTGAAGCCAAAGCATCAATATTCAAATTAATAATTAATATGACAGCCAGATCTTTATTTGTATCAAGAAGTTATTTTGGTTGTATAAAATTAGGCCTCTTTCTGTAACATCAAAGTATGTAAGGACAGAAACAAATATTTTTTTCCACATTGGTCGTTCGTTTCTTCATTTCCGCGCATTTTATAAAAGAATGAGACCTTGGTAGCGGAGTATCACAGAGCCAGCTATTTTTTATTAAAAACCTTTAAACACAGAGTTTTTTTTAGACTAATAAAGACTCTAAGGTTTAAAAATAATCTAGTCTAAGGTTGAAAATATTGGACTACCTTAAAAGCTCTTTGAAATTCTTAAGGACTCAAATAAGGCACATTAATTGGCTTCAAGGTTTGGATGAATCTCTTAAAAACTGTTAAAAAACCAAATCTCTATTAAAGCAGTCCTTTCTTTAGAGATTCGACCCTTACAGATTTTAAAGGTTTTTGCATACCCTTAAAGCTCTTGAAGATTCTTAAAAGCCCTTTAAGTCCCGCTAAAAGCTCTCAACGACTGACTCTCAAATACTTTAAAAACTTCTGGAAGACTTTTGATTTTGAAGACTCTTTGGGGCTCTTGAGAGATAGTTTGCGACTCTTACAAACATTTAAAGACCCATAAAAGACCTTAAAGGCTCTTAAAAAGGATTTTCTACGATTTACAAACTATAAGATCCAATTAAAGGCTCTCAAAGCCTTTAAAAGACCTTTTGAGTCTCAAACACTTACAAACTTTTAAAAAGAGGCTAAAACTTTGAAACTGCTGGAAGATTCTTTTATAAGCCACCTCTAGTAGGTCATTTTCCAAAAGATTTAGCGCTATACTTACTTTTGGACTTTCAACTTTATTATATTTGATTTGTTTCAAGAAGTCAGAATTGCCGGCCTCATCTCTCTTTACTTATTTATTTATTTAACTATGTATGTACAATGTCTGTTTTAAAAACAAATGACTAGTAATTATTACCTACTGTTGCCCCACTGTTATATATTGGAAGGAATGCAATGAACTGGAAGGAATACAAAGCGAGTAAATGGGTATTAGGGCTACATGGAAGGACACCAAATTGTATATCCGAGGAAGAAACAAAAATGGAAAAGATAAGGATAGCTTCGGGGCGCAGGGTGGTAAGATTCGAGAAAGCGAATTGGTGAAAAAAGCTTGACAACGAAGATGAACGCAAAAGGAATGTGGGAAGAACAAAGAGAAAAATATGAAATAAATGGATACGAACGAGCTGAGGTCGAAAAGAGGAGTGGAGTAGGAAAAAAAGAGTTGGCAAAAAGGGATCTAGATGCACAAATACATCAACAGAGGGTGAAGATGGAGAGCGAACGCGGTAGTAGTGGTTATAAAGAGGTAATAAGGCGATGACTACCAAAACATTTGTGGGAAGGAAACAATAATATTAAAATAATAGCCAGATTCAGATGCCAAAATGAAGAAGGGGGAGAGAGTAATGGACACCAGAAGAAGAAAGAAAATGTAAAATATGCAGAGAGGAAGAAGAGGACATAAAACACATGTTATGGAACTGTACGGGGGTGAAATGACAGGGAGAAGTAGGAATGAGGTGCTGGATGAGGGGAGAGAAGGTGAGAAGTGGATGAGGGGGATACTAAAGAAAAGAGAAGGAAAAATCGTATTTTAGTTATACTTAATTTATATCGTAAAAAGTGTTGCCATTTTGGCTTCCAATAAAGCTTGATTGCGCTTTAGACACGTGGTGAAATTCATGAAAATGGGCGTCTTTTTTTCATTATAAGTCCCTGGGTTTCCCGAGTATCGCGGAGATTCGATTTGTTTTAGCTTTTTTTTGTTATTAGAAAGCCAAAAAATCGCACATTGAAAAATGAATTCTTTCAATAGAAAGAAATTTGTTACTCTTAAATTCGACACAGAAATTTCTCACACAGCACAATAGTTCCATTTGTCTCCGCATTTTTTGAGGATCGTCTCAAAAAGCTCGCTGCATTATCACTGACATTGTGGAAACAACAAAATAATTTGCTCATAAAAATGAGTGTGGGTACAAATTAAGTTGATAATTTTCAGGTATTATTTGTTTAAATAATTAATCCATTGTTTAAACAATAACGAAACTAACTTTTGTACTAATTAGTCGTAATTAATTTCAAGTTTACTTTAGTGACATTTTTATTTAGCTTAATATTTCGTTACAATTTAATTGATTTTTAATATTTTATTAAAATATAATAAATTAGTGCATCTTTTCTACCCTTAAAAATCATTTATTGTAGATTGCAACCGTACGTAGTGCATACATAACACCCACATTTTGTGGATATGCCTCGATTTACACGAAAATTGGAATTAAGCTGAAACTTCCCTACAATTCCGAATCTTAGCTATGCCGATTGCCGATAGGCATTTATTATGTTATAGTGCTGAAAACTACCCCATATTGGCATAACTGAAACTTAAAGCTTAAAATCAGGTCATATAGGTTTATTGCTTAGGAACATATTTGTGATTTTTGGGGAAATTTTTCGAAAGAGAACAAATTTCCCCTATGTCATGGTTTTGTCTGTCCGTCTGTTCCTCTTTAATTCAAGAAGGAAAAGAGACAGCGACGTCAAACCTTCGCCAATCGATTTCTACGAGTTCAAGGATCAGTGGCAAAATATTCCCCTACTGAAAATCGTATGCGATTCTTCGTATCTTGTTTTATAATTTTACGTGTTTCAAATCACCCCCTATAATGAAAACAATTCTTCATCGGTTAATTTTCTAGAATATATTCGGTACTAATAAATAAAGTTAATTATTGTAAATGGGCCAGAATCAGTTTCGGGGGACGTTTCGTTGCTTTCTACGCCACAATAAAGGTTTCCCCAAGAAACCGTTTCTTTGCTATTAACTTGAGTCCACTTTCAACTACCCATATCTCAGTTAATATTGGGAAAAAACCTTCCACCAACGAGATGGGCTCGTGTGGCTTTCAAGTTTACTGTCCAAATTTCAGACAAATTCATTCAAAGGGGATAACCATCATATCCTGGTCTAAAGTAAGCAACTCGAACCTAACGATTCTCTACATTTACTTTACCACGTGTTTATCATATAGGGCAAGAGCCTTTATGAAGGGTACATTGAATGCTGTTACAGATAGTTCGAATACACTTCACCCTGTAATTCTAAACTCCCCTTCATTTGTAACACTAGTCACTAATAGTGACAGTTAGTATATAGCAAAATTTTTGCTGAAAACTAGTAATGCTCAATGTGTTACTCGAGTAAAAACAAAATGGCGCACAACTCAGAATCCGCAACCCCGAGCATTTTTGCAATTGATTTAATACTATTTCATAATTCTAGTAGGTGATGTAGATAGAACTATGAATCCATACCGCACTTAGAAGCAGGACTTTGAAATGCAATTAAACATGCATAAATTAATGCATAGACTGCCCTTGTCCTATTTAGACTCGTTTGAGAAACTGACAAAGATAAATTTGCGCTCGGCCATGTACCTTTAGGCTTAGGCAATAACTTAAATTACGGATCAAAGTTTTATATGAAAAAGAAAGGTCAAGTTTAAGTTTTTGTTATCAAAATTGAGATTAGCACCACAAATGATTACTCCCCACGTCACTTCCAAATATTTTTTTTGATAAGGTGACACCGACCTACCGCACTTGTATGTGTATTAGCAATTTTTATCGCCGCGATAACTTTTTTTGACAAACAAACTAAATTAATTAAGTGGATCATTGATAACTCTGCCTAATTATAACATTAAAAGTACTTACACTTGCATTACCGAATCGTCTTGGGGTACAGTGTAACGGAATGATATAAAAAATGAATGACCTCGTTCTCAAAACGTTGATAACTAACAACAAATTAAAATTTAAAACTGTCGCGCCTGATACGCTTTTCGGCGGGGAACGTTTTTGGTAACCGCAACGCGGAAATTTTTTAAAAACCATATTTCTCCAGTTGTTTCACAATCTAATACCGATAATAAAAATAGGCGAATACTTCCAGTTTATTGAAAAAAAAAATGATTTACGGCCACGAATCATAATGGCCTGGTTGAATTATAGATAAACTCATCACTTGACCGATAAAATTATTTGTTTCACAGACAAACAAATGCACTATTTTAAGAGAAATGCTTTTGTTAATTCATCGTGACCTCTTTTGTCTTTTGCTCTCGAGTGTAATTGACCGATACTCACTTGAAAATCTGTTTGGTGTCCAACGTGGGTAGCCTCATATTCGGCGCGGGTTTGATTTCGACGGGACTGCCGGCGCTGCTCATCCCCTTCGAGCTGAGATCTAGGGGCTGCTCGCCGGTCGTCTTCTCTATTTCCGCCACCCTTTCCGGTTGATAATTGCGCGTCATATTCGCGAGGTACCAATTCGGAGGTATGAGATTTGGATTGTAGAAGGACAGGGGTGGCGTCGGTGTTGCGGGGGGGTTTCCTGAGAGCGCCGCCACTGCGGAGGCCAAAGCTGCCATCGCGGTCATATTGTGATTATTATTCAATAATCTGGTAGGTGGCGTTAGTGTTGGCGGTATCTCAGAATCGCTATGACTATCGGTCGAGTCCGAATCGGTCTGTCGGGGACTCTGAAATTAGAAGAAGAAAAAAAGTTATAAATTTAATATCGCCATTCGGTACACGTCCATTAAGTATCACATTTTTTCTGCCCATGAATACTAAAAGGCATTTAATTGTGAATTAGAGCCTAACAAGATTCGTTGCGAAATTTCAACTCATATATGGACAAGGCCGACCATTTCTTGCATGGCATTATTAATTAGTGCAGAAATAGTTTATACCTACATTACGTTAGTTAGTTATTACAAATTAATTAAGGCGAAATGGATGCTGCCGTTAGATCAGTATACCTTGCATCACTAACTTTACATTCCTCCAATTTCCGGTTAGCAAAAAAGTTCTAATTTTTTGCTTAACATTTTTACCAATAACGGTCAGAGAATTTCTTTAAATTGCTCATGATCCTGTCAACTAATTCCAAAAGGAATTTGGTCACCACATAAAGTAAAATATGACATTTCGCATATCTTAGAACTAAGGTAGCAAAAATCTTGGAATAAAACATGGTACCGACATATATCGATGATGGTCAATACAGGTCAAGCCAAGTAAAACGCCCTGTTTTGAGGTTGTTGAGAAATGCACGACAAAAGCTTGGATAGTACCATATTGTGCATACTTCTTAGGATTTAGAGCATTTCAAAACATCTCCAGGCAATTTTGGTTCATCAATTCACAGTCTAGTTGCAGCGGGGTACATTTTTCAAAGTCACTTCTTGAAATAATGCCGGGACTATAAAATATAAGAATTTATGGTTCCCGCACTCACGCCGCGAATTTATATGAAATCCCAAAACATCCCTTATTCGAAATATTCCTCCAATTTAGGATCAAAACCTCAGCCTCCCTGGAAGGGAACAACGAAAGACTTGATGATCCTACAAAGTATTCATTTGTTCTATGTGGGTTGGGGGGTATTACATACCCCCAGACCCCCCGGTGTTATGTTCGACTTCAAAACGTTCAGCCCTTAGAACTGTCGTATATAAAACGTTTCTCAGAAAAGAAACATTTGACGGTACTTCATGGAATATCCCCCAATAACGAAAGATTTGATGATTCCACAAAGTATTCATTTGTTCTATGTGGGTTGGGGGGTATTACATACCCCCAGACCCCCCGGTGTTATGTTCGACTTCAAAACGTTCAGCCCTTAGAACTGTCGTGTATAAAATGTCTCTCAGAAAAGAAACATTTGATGGTACTTCGGAGAATATCCCCCAATAACGAAAGATTTGATGATCCTACAAAGTATTCATTTGTTCTATGTGTGCTGGGGGGTATTCCATACCCCCCAGACCCCCCGGTGTTATGTTCGACTTCAAAACGTTCAGCCCTTAGAACTGTCGTATATAAAACGTTTCTCAGAAAAGAAACATTTGACGGTACTTCATGGAATACCCCCCAATAATGAAAGATTTGATGATTCTACAAAGTATTCATTTGTTCTATGTTCCCCCCCAGACTCCCGGTGTTATGTTCGACTTCAAAACGTTCAGCCCTTAGAACTGTCGTATACAAAACGTTTCTCAGAAAAGAAACATTTGACGGTACTTCATGGAATACCCCCCAATAACGAAAGATTTGATGATCCTACAAAGTATTCATTTGTTCTATGTGTGCTGGGGGGTATTCCATACCCCCCAGACCCCCCGGTGTTATGTTCGACTTCAAAACGTTCAGCCCTTAGAACTGTCGTATATAAAACGTTTCTCAGAAAAGAAACATTTGACGGTACTTCATGGAATACCCCCCAATAACGAAAGATTTGATGATTCTACAAAGTATTCATTTGTTCTATGTGGGTTGGGGGGTATTACATACCCCCAGACCCCCCGGTGTTATGTTCGACTTCAAAACGTTCAGCCCTTAGAACTGTCGTGTATAAAATGTCTCTCAGAAAAGAAACATTTGATGGTACTTCGGAGAATATCCCCCAATAACGAAAGATTTGATGATCCTACAAAGTATTCATTTGTTCTATGTGTGCTGGGGGGTATTCCATACCCCCCAGACCCCCCGGTGTTATGTTCGACTTCAAAACGTTCAGCCCTTAGAACTGTCGTATACAAAACGTTTCTCAGAAAAGAAACATTTGACGGTACTTCATGGAATACCCCCCAATAACGAAAGATTTGATGATCCTACAAAGTATTCATTTGTTCTATGTGGGTTGGGGGGTATTACATACCCCCCAGACCCTCCGGTGTTATGTTCGACTTCAAAACGTTCAGCCCTTAGAACTGTCGTATATAAAACGTTTCTCAGAAAAGAAACATTTGACGGTACTTCATGGAATATCCCCCAATAACGAAAGATTTGATGATTCCACAAAGTATTCATTTGTTCTATGCGTGCTGAGGGGTATTCCAGACCCCCCGGTGTGTTATGTTATGTGCATGCTATAAACAGTTTTGAATTAAGCTCTGGGGGTACACGGGAACGGAAAATTTAATGGCTCTTCCCTCTTAGAACTCTAAAACTAATAAAAAATTATCATGTTCATTTTATACTAAACGTAGATCGGAGGGTCTGATGGAGGGTATGGAATATCCCCCCTCCCTCTCATAAAAAAGGAAATTGGGGGATTTCTAAAAGCTTCTCAGACTTCTAAGAAGAAACCCTTCCAAAAATAGTTCAATGATATATGAAATATGTGCAAAAGTGGTTGATTTACTGAAGTTTGTTTTGAAACAAATTCCGCCGGAGATGTTTTTCACAATTTCTAGGAAGAATTTTTAGTCTTTCTATGATTATTTCGAGCAACAGCTATTTTTGTTTTTAAAGTGCTCCTTTTATTTAGGAAAGAATAAGAAAATCTGTAAATGATCTAGAAAACTCCTGAAACGTCGTAAATACTTTATTCTGTTCTGGAAATACATACGTTCCAAATACCATGGGAACGTTTTGGAAAAAGCCTAAACAGTTTTGGAAACTTGCACAAATTGCAGATCGATCTCTACGCCTCGCATCCGAATACACGAAAATGTTCATTATTTTTGAAAAACGGCAAAACAGAATTTACGTCTCTTATAATTCGTTGCGTTTAAAGACACCTAAGTGTATTTGAACTTTCAAAAACGCATGTTGGATTTTCATATCCAAAGATCTCAACGTTTACTACCATCGGTTTATGGACACTGGCGGTGTTTAGTGCAGGGATAAATTCACAAAGAAAGATCACGTGTAATTTGGACCAGCGCCAGGCATTTTCATGCTTAGGTGGACGACAAGACAACGTTAAAAAAATGCGAACCTACCAGCGCCCCTTGACTCGTATTATTTTCACTATCCAGTTTGCCGTCTATACAAAAATAACACTTGCTTTGCGGCGACCAATCCTGGGGTTGCTCGTCCGCGTCTTCCTGTTTTATCCTGTACTCCTTTTTCAAATCGTCTTCTATATCTACTAGTTCCTCTTGCTTCTTGAAATATCGCTGATACTTTATATTGTCCTCGTGCGTCCTTATCTTTTCCACGTTGTTGTTTATAGGTTGCAAGTAATTTCTCGACTCTTGATACAGTTTCCATTTCCTTCGACCCATCAACTCTTCAGCGATCCTTTCCAGCCCTGGAAACACAAAGAAAGGCAAACTTAGCGCAGTTCAGTTGGGGTTTTTTTTTACAACAAAGGAAAGACAAGCGCAAATTTCTAGAAAGACTTCCGTTGCGAGTTTTTGTAATCTAGGATTTAGAAAACCGCCGACGACGCCATCAGCGTGAAAATTGTGCGACTCTGCTGAATTTGATACTACGAAATGTACGAGACTTGTATGTCTATTTTTTTACTATTATTGCGCTTAAAGTGCATGTAGTTTCTTGGAATTGGAAACGTATGTGTTACGGAAGTCGATTTAACGCTTTTTCCCCCCCAAATTTCCCCTCTACAAATGAGGTTGTCACCGGCTTGTATTAGAAAAAACAGCAATTGAAGCTAATCAGTGGATTAATATAATGAGGGTAGGCCCATGCTTTGCTTAATCTTAATTGGCGAGGCTAAGTGATGTCGGCCATTATGTTTGTACTTGTGATGCATTTTTGCAATCAAATGTGATTTGTGCGTCCTTGATGTAGATACATAGAGGTGCATGACTAACGAATGATCGACACGAAAAGTTTTTCGCTTTTGTATAGCCAATCAAAGAGTATTTTTTTTCGGACAATTGTGTGGCTAAATGAATCTGCGATTTACCGCGAGATAAAATTTATGTAACAGAATCTCGAGTGTGATGACGAATTAGTAATTGTTTAATTCTACAGCGGAGCAACCTTCATATTATACGAAAAGATGGAATTTCCAGTTTCTAACTGCGAAAAACTTGAGAGCAAATGCCAAACGTCATCGAATTCTGTCATAAATTGAAAATGTGTTGACCACTGAACCTTTTTTTCATCATACTATATCTAGTTCTTGGAGGGTGCGGATATGGATATTAAATATATATTTTGGTTCCAACGTGACGGAGCTCCTGCGCATGATACGCCTAGGTACCAAATTTTGGACCGAATCTGGCGCGGGCCTAAGGATTCAAGGGGCCAGGGCAGTCTACAAAGCGTTCCCTCTCAAAATGTTAACAAAACCACAAGATGCATAACAAAACTTCGTAATAACATTAACGTGGTGCTTGTACACATATGGAAAAGCCGCGAAGTGACCTTCTGTTAAAAAAAAGTACCGCAGTAAATCCAAATAAGAACAAATATACGGAATATCATCGAGTTTTTTTATTTATCATCATCAGTACCTATTCACCACATTTTAATGCAGGTTGGAACGCATGAGGAACTTTCTGATAATTGAAGGTACCGATTAGGTAAAATGACTGAAATGGTCGACTCACCTAATTAATTATTAGCAATGCAATAATAAATAAAACTAAATTGTATATAAATACAACTACATACAAACAAGAGCGAAGGGACGGGAGCGATGCTGCTTCCAAACAGAGCTGGGCAGAATACTTTCAAAAAGTATTTGAATACTAAATAGTAAATACTTTGCACAAATCAAAGGTATTTGAATACTAAATACTTTTACGTCCAGCACAAGCGAATACTAGATACAGATACATTGAAAAGTATTCAAATACTTAAAAAAATAAGTATTCAAATACTTTAGAATGTATTCGAATACTTTCAAAAGTATTTCATTATCTTACTTTGAAAAGTATTCGAATACAGTAAAAAATATTCAAATACTTGTCACTCAAATACATTAAAAATTTAAAATAGTATACTAGATAAAAGGCTTAATACTAAATCAAGTTATACTTTGTATGGGCCTAGATCCTTCACTCAACGGTATGGGGTTAGCTTTTTTTATATTTCTATTATTATATACAAATTTAAGGGGAGTAAAAGCGTATTATTATTATTAGGTATAGTATTATATAGGAGGTACCTACCAGGACCTTTCTTATACCAGTTATATCCTTAAGAATACGTGCCAGTTTTCAAAGCGATCGTACGTCGTGCACATGATACGTACGCCTTTCTGAAATTAATCCTAGCGATTTTGGAACATTTCTAAATTGTTCTCAAATATTTGAATAACTTAAAAGTACTGCCTTTTTTTTGAGGACGGAAAAAAAATTGTCTGAGATCGAGAACGATGGAGAGTCCATAATTTCAAACAGTTTGAAGATTGGGCTACTAGATCAAAAGTTAACAGCCCATTGAATTTTTTTTCGAAATTGGTTTCTAGTCAATAACTTTTGATTGAGAAGTCTGATCGAAAAAGTACGAATTGTTTTGGATTCTACGCACCAAAATTAATAAGAGAAAGTGTTTTCCCGAGAAATTTTGGTGCAGTCGATTTTTGGTCAAAAAAGGAAGGTTATAATACACTGCCTTTTTTGAGGCCCGAAGAAAAAATCGTCTCAGATCGACCCGGAAAATACATTTTCTTATAGAATGTGGCCTGTAGAATCCATAATTTCAAACAGTTCCAAGATTGAGCTACTATTTCAAAAGTTACAGCCCTTTGAATTTTCTTTCGAAATTGGTTTCTAGTCTATAACTTTTGATTGAGAAGTCTGATCGAAAAAGTACGATTCGTTTTGGATTCTACGCACCAAAATTAATAAGAAAAAGTGTTTTCCCGAGAAATTTTGGTGTAGTCGATTTTTGGTAAAAAAGGAAGGTTAAGTATTCAAATACTATGCGAAGTATTCGAATACTTTACGAAGTATCCAAATACTTTGCGAAGTATTCGAATACTAAATATTTGTGAAAGTATTTGAGTTTCAAATACAAATACTGCTTCCATAAAAGTATTTAATTACAAAGTATTTGAATACTTTAAAGGATTTGAATACTAAAAAGTATTTACAAAATCGAATACTGCCCAGCTCTGCCTCCAAATAGACCTAGCCACCCCACAAAAATCATTTTACGGTGTGTAAATCAAATCAGGTTGATTTTTGTAACCATTTGTAATTAAAAAAGGGATAGTTTTTAGAGGACTGGTAGTGCTAACTTTTACTTCACGATAGCATTACCGCCCAATAATTTATTTATTGTATTATGTCGTCTTCACACCCTGTAGGTATATATTTTTGGATTCTACAAACAACTTTACACCTGATACGTTGTTTTAGATAATGTGTACGGGGTTTGTTAAACAATTAATAATTTACCGATATGTTAGCGTAACAGGAAAAACTGAACCAATCACTTTTCTTATTCAAACGTACATTAGCATATAATTTTAGCATTTGCAAAGTATACAGGGCAATTCAAACTACCTGGGTGAGCGACTGTGGTCCTAAATGAAAAATTAGAATTAACGGTATCCAATATTGATATTTTCAAGATTGTAGAGGTAATGAAAACGATGTTGATACAGTCATAGTCAATATTAGATTAAAAAATAAAATTTCACTAATTTTTCGAGCAACCTCGTATAAGTTAGGTACCTCTAAAACCCTTTAACTTTGAGAGTTTTTAACCAATCTTAAGAAAGTTTAATAATTTTTATGACTTTACCGATCGTTTCCAAGAACCTTTATGGGACTTTAGGGTTGTAAGTGCTTTTAGAGGATCTTTGGACCCTATAAAAGCCCAACGGGGAATCCTATAAGGTAAATCTAAGGTTATATAAGAAGGATATCACGAGGCGTAAGAGAGAAGCATGGAAGAGCCTTTGCAGCTCTATAGAATCCGCCTCCTCAGGGGGATAAAAATTGTTTTCATCCCCAACCCTGGCAAAGGTGATTACTCCACACCTAAGGCATATGGTAAAAGGGGAAAAAGCAAATAGGGCTTTCTACCAACGTCGCCGGACGAAATTAAAGAAATTTCTCGGGAAATATTAGGAAATTTCAAAGAAATGAGAGGAAATCTATAGTGGAAATTTTAAGGAAATAAAAGGTTTCTATAAGGAAGTAATGTTACTCATTTCACGTTAATTCGGACAAATGTTGTGTAAATTTGGGGAAATTTTAATTTTAATTTAATTTAATTTAATTTAATTTAATTTAACTTTTAGGCAATAGAAATCTTTGTTCTCTAAAACAAGTCGTCATCAATCCCGAGGACAATTCTTGTCTGGGAAAAATGTAGAAAATGGAAGAAATTAGAGAAAATTCTGCGAAAATACTAGGGAACTTTCGGGAAATAGGAGGAATTGTTAAAGGAATGAAGAAATTCTAGGTAAATATTAGGAAATTTTAAGAAAAGAGGAAATTCTGACGAAATCTAGAGGAAATTTTAAGAAAAAAAGTTTCTAATAACGTTACTCATTTCACGTTAATTTGGAGAAATTTTGTGGAAATTTTAAAGCAATGCTAGAAATGTTGGGAAAATTAAGGGAAATGGCAATTTTTCTTCCTTTCTTATCAGAAATCTTGTCTTTCATATAAGAAATTTCAAGGAAATAAGTATGTACGAAATGGACAAAATTAGACGAAATTCTGGAGAAATATTAGGAAATTTTTGTGGAATAAGGGAAATCCCGAAGAAATTAGAGGATATGTTGGGGACATCAAAAGAAATGGTGGCAATTTTAAGCAATAAAGGAAATTTTTGCCCCCTAAAATAAGTCGTGACCAACCCCTCGTCCCCAAAAACCTCAAAATTGACCTTCTATTAATATTTTTCTTGGAAACCATAACAGACAGAAAGATAGAACTTCGCCTAGCATATCGAATAAGCCCTTTTTACATAAAGTGGCAAATTTCGTCGAGATCGGAATTTTTCCATACCCCGTTAATTAGACGTGCCATTTCGGAGTGAAAAATTTAACTTAAGTTCATACTCAAAACCTGTATATTATGTTGTATTATCTTAGTTGAGAAAAAACCTCGGAAAAAACCGTTTGTGAGTAATTATCGAGATTACTTAAGCGCAATTATAATTTCCGAAGATTAATTAATGAATTCCATTACTCAATTTTTAGCGAATTTACGGGCCCGTAGAAGAACATTGTAGAAAGAGGAGGAGTGTACACGTACCTACCGGCGCAGTGATCTTAGGGTGAGGGGTAATTTGCCGAGTTTGAGTGAACTTAAAGGATTAAAGAGAAATTAAAGAAGAACCTGAAAGTACCTTGAAAGAATTTTAGGGTCGGTC